GAAAGAGGAGAGAAGAGTCGTATAGGTGCACATACAAGGACAAAGACGTACATACTACATGATAGAAGGTAGCAATAGTTACGAGATTGGAGGAATTCCGACCATAAATCATGGTGGGAGAAAGAGGCCTAAAGGGGGGAATGCCCTGACCTTTGGATTTATTCATAGAACAGTTGCTTAGATGGCAAGGAGAGTACTAAAGTATTCGCAAGAGCTATAGATTATGATAGTGACAAGTGCATCAGTCAATATTCGAGGACGAATGTTCCAAAGGGAGGAATGATGTTACACCCCATTTTTTCGTACGTGAAAGTATGCCATAAGTTAATTGATGAAAGATCAAATAATGAGAAGTTATATTTTACATTTTTGTACGTTAAAGTTTCGTTGTAAGTTAATCGACGTAAGTTCGGGAATAAGATTATTTTGGGATTAAAAGTACTATGCTATTTGAAACAAGTGATAAGTAAATTCGTGAAAGTGAGAGGCTAAGTGAATCAAAGAAAATTAGTTTTGTCGAAGTTTGGCAATTTAGGATAAAATACGGTCCAAACTATACTACCCGGTATTTATGGACTAGTACCATACAAGGTACCACATGACCATGATAGTAAGGTGTATAAGGTGTGATAAAAGTGAGTAGTATTTTAAGTAATTTGATATAATTCTTACTTATGTGAATAGATGGGTAATTAGTGACTTTAGTGGGAGATTTACTAATTACTTAGTTTATTTGGATAAGTTTAATCATTCTCCTTAACGTGGCAACCCAAGATTACTCTTAGTCATTAAAATAGGTGGCATGTAGGGGCCTTAAGGTCAAATATTAGTCATCCTAAAGTGGGACCCACTCTCTTTGATAAAGACACCAAGTCATTAAAGGGAAATGATATGTTTAGAATGCAATGGATTACAAAAACGCTCTTATGAAGTGAGATGCTCTTAGGAGCCAACATACGGATTTTCCCATATCAGTAAGAAAGTGAGGTGCTTATGTTTGTTAAGCTATCAAATGAAAGCCACAAAATTCATACGATACTACGTAATGTAATAGCAATGGGATTTGCAATTTTAAGGGAGCCCGGTACAATCTTTCTCAAGAATATCATACGGATTTTTCCCTACTTCGATCCACCGTTACGTGTTATTGCAATTGACGTGTGTTAGAGGGATTCTCAAGAGAATCAGCTCAAGTATGTTAAGGCTATCACATCTTTCCTTTTGGCATGATCTATACGACACGAACGGAACAAGCAAATGCACAACTTCCATAAATGAATCTATTCATAGAAGTATTAGAGGTGTCTATATTCTTGAATTTTCATGTGTCTTATTATTATATCTTCTATTCATGGGTCTTAGAAAAATACGTAAGTTGAAAAAAGTTTACTTCATGATATTACTCAAAGGCATAAAGGTCTTATGACATTCTGAGAGATTTTATTAACATATTTCTCATGCATTGCATTCATTTATATATGTAAATTGACCCATGACTAGATGGCGTTATGTACGCATATATACATATATACNGGATGCCCTCAGAGGCTTGATGATGTTATGAACGCACATACCCATGCATGGTATGACATTTATATGCATATACATGACAATATAATATTAAACGATTCACAGAGCTATTCAGATATACATGTTGGGTCTTTTACTCCATGTTTCTCTCATGTCTATTGTTTACTAATTTTCATTCCTTACATACTCGGTACATTATTTGTATTGCCATCTCTTTTGCCTGGGGACACTGCGTTTCATGCCCGTAGGTCCATATAGACATGTCGAGAGTCCTCCAAATAGGCTATCAACTCAGCGAAAGATGTTGGTGCGCTCCATTTGCTCCGGAGTTGCTTATTTGGTCAGTATGATTTAGACATGTATTGTTTGGTGTGGCGGGGCCCTGTCCCGACCTTTATGATAAGTATGTACTCTTAGAGGCTTGTAGACAGATGTCATGTATATGTATACTTTTATGGCCTTGTCGTCCTATATTTTAAGTATATAATGGATCACATTGGCCTTATAGGCCCCTATGTCACAGGTATGAATTTCTATATCAGGTTGGGTCGTTCTATGTCGGGTATTCCCTTATGTTTACTCTGGTTATCCCATGACGCCCCTTCTGGCCCACTTACCTATGATGATGTAATAAGAAAGATATGTTACTTTGGTACTCAATTAAGCAAGGTACCATGTTCCCGTCGCGGCCCATCGATTTGGGTCGTGACAAATGCTATTTTCCAGAAGATAGAGCGGGAGTATCACGAGTACCCTAACAAGCACCGCAAGATATGTAGCTGGTATGGGGAGAGCAGCAATTTCCAGGCTCTCTGAGCTGAACTGAATGAGAAGGATAACAAGTTGGTAAGAGTCATCGGAAAATGCAGCATTCTCTAAGGGGAATTAAGGGATAAGGAAGAAGAACTTGAGGTGAGGAAGGGGGTCGAGTCCCAATGTGCCGACCTTCAAGCCCAAGTGGTATCACTGCGCACTGAGCTCAAGCAGTGTCAAATCAAAGTGGACACTCTGAGTGGCAAGGTCGCTGAGAAGGCAACGGAGTGGGAGAAGGTGGAGTTGGCCCGGTTGGGGGCTGTAAGGAAAATAGAGGCTTTTGCGATCGCGGTCTGCGTTCTGCATTCTGAGTAGGAAAGTGCTCTGGAGACGTCCAAGCTCAGAAAGGAGCAGCTTGATGAATAGATAGAGGAGTTGGAAAAAGAGGCTTCAGGCCTTGGTGACCGAGTTGCTGCTCCTGAAGTCGGGAAGGCACAGTTATTGGCTCAGCCATCTTCCTCCCGTACTTCTGTTTTTCCTGATATTCCACAGGATATTTATGAGAAGTGGATCCACACCGAGGCCCAACGGGATATATTTAGAGATCTGATAGGGGCGGGAAAAGTTTTGGAGGCCGATTTCGAGGATGCTCGTGCTAAGGTACGTACAAATCGGATTGTTTGTGGCTATGACCTCGCTACACCAGAGGCCAGTGATGACGAGAAGGATGTGGGTGTGGTTCAGATTGAACAGGATGCCTAGTATGAGGATGAGTATCCCGATGGCAATGGCAATGGCAATGGAGGAGAGGCGAGTGGAGATGGCCTAGGCAATCAAGTGGATGTCGCTGCTGGGTCCGACAGCGATTAGTTGTTTTTGCTTTTCTTTTAGTCACAAACTTGTGTACATTTTTTTGTGTGGCCGTCTTTTCTCTCCTTTGTAAAAAGAATATTCTAAGTATGAAATGCTAGTTTTGTTACCCGTACCTGCTTCTTTTTCTTTTGTTCGAGTTTGTGTTCCTCTTTTCTTTTGTTGCTTGGTTGCCTTAGTCATAACAACTTGGTTCGAATAGGTTGAAAAAAGCTGAGGGCCGAATAGGTGTTAATTAGAGTGAGGTCGAGTATAACCTATACTTAGTTATGGCTGAGGGCTGAATATGTGTTAGTTCGAACGAGGTCGAAAGTAAGCTATATTTAGTTATGGTCGGGGCCGAATAGGTGTTAATTCAAGCAAGGTCGAATGTAGCCTATATTTAGTTATGGCCGGGGCCAAATAGGTATTAGTTCGACCGAGGTCGAATGTAGCCTATATTTAGTTATGGTCGGGGGCCGAATAGGTGTTAATTCAAACGAGGTCGAATGTAACCTATATTTAGTTATGGACGAGGGACACTTAGCTGTTAATTCGAATGAGGTTGAGTGTAACCTATATTAAGTTATGGCCGAGGGCCATTTGGGTGTCAAGGCGACGTTGTTTTGGCGAAAATATGGGTAAACTTCATGCATTTGTGCTTTGTTCATACACTTGGAGAAATTTACATATTTTTCAGGGACATTCCAGTCCTAATCTATCTAGTGTTGGCAGGAATTCTAGTCGTAGTCTATCTAGTCTCTTCATTGGTCGACCTAAAAAAGTATATTGAGAGGTTAAGCAATGAACTAGCCGTCATGTGACTCCATTTGTTCGCACTTCCGATTGAAGTGTCCCCCTCGTTGCATCGTTAAAAACCTCCTTGATAAAACCCGATTGGGACAAAACTCAAGTGAGGGAAAAAGAGTATGACTTGAAGGACGCTTTTTCTTAAAAGTTGAAGTACTTGAGGTGGTTGATATTCCAGTTATTTGGTAGTAGTTTTCCTTCCACTATTTCTAGTCGAGATGACCATTTGTTTGTTAATATTGTGATTTTGTATGGGTCGTCCCAATTTGTTCCCTGTTTGCCTTTCTGTGGGTCTTTGCTTGCTTGTGTCTTAGCTTTAAGCACGTAGTCCCCGACTTTGAGTGCTCTGACCTTTGCCTTTTTGTTGTAATAGCATTCTGCCTATTGTATTTTGGTGATCATCCTTATGTAGGCCATATCTCTTCGTTCTTTGGCTTCGTCAAGCTCTTGCCTTCTACTTTCGTCATTCCTCGACCCGCTCTTGTGGAAGTATCTCAAAATGGGCTCTCCGACTTCGACCGGTATTACCGCATCAGTCCCATAGAATAATGAGTAGGGCATTTCTCCTATGCTCGTCTTTGGCATTGTTCAGTAGGCCCACTTCTGGTAGTAACTCCGACCATAGTCCCTTGGCGTCCTCGAGCTTTTTCTTCATGATGTTTAGTATTAATATATTGGAGGACTCCGCTTGCCCGTTTCCCAGGGGGTGATACGATGTTGAGAGTATTTTTTTTATATGCCACTTCTCAAAAAATTCGGCAACCTTTTTTCTATAAAATGGGATCGTTATCGCAATTGATCTCTTTGGGGAGGCCGAAATGACATACGATATTTTTCCATATAAAGGCGGTCACTTCCTGTTCGCGTGTTTGGGCGAACGCTCCTACTTCTACCCATTTAGAAAAATAGTTAGTTAAAATCAAAAGAAATTGTACGTTACCTCACCGTTCGGGAAGGGGGCCAATGATGTCCATTCCCCACTTGATAAACGACCAAGGGGAAGTGACTGAGTGGAGGTGCTCGCCCGCTTGGTGGATCATTGGGGCATACATTTGGCACTACTCACATTTTTTTACGAAGTTTGCAGCCTCTTTTTTCATGGTGGGCCAGTAGTAACCTGCCCGTATGAGGCATCCAACAAGAGCTCGATTGCCGGAATGAGCTCCGCAATGGCCTTCATAGACATCTTCAAGGAGGCGCCGCGACTGATTTGGGCCTAAGCATTTCGCTAGGGGGCCGCCATACATCCTCTTGTATAGGTCGTTATAAATGATGTTGTACCTGATTGCTTGCATTCGAAGTTTCTTGGCTTCTTTTTTATCATCTGGGAGTACGCCATCCTGCAAATATGTAACAATACAGTTGCGCCAGTCCCGAGTTAGGTTTATGGTTCTTACCTCGATTTGATTTATCAATGAGTTGAAGAGTGTGACCACGTTTCTTTATCTGATTGTAATACTTTTGGTGGTCGTTGCTAATTTGGCGAGGCCGTTAGCCTCAGCGTTCTGTGCTCGAGGGATCTGACCGAGCTGACATTCGTCAAACTCGGCAGCAGCTTAGAGATCTCGGTCTGGTATTTTTGTAACCTTTGCTCTTTGATCTAGAAAGTCCCTGTGACTTGGTTGACAACGAATTGGGAATCGCTAGTGTTACATGTCTTGCCCTGTATTTGAGTACTAGCCTCAACCCTGCAATTACGCCCTCATACTCGGCCTCATTGTCAATCATGTCCGGGCAACTTATGGACTGACAAATCACTTTGCCGGTCGGAACCTCGAGTACGAGTCCCAGCCTGTATTAGAGGCACCATCGGTGTACAAAACCCATATGTCCTATGTTTGGGGGGAAGCCTGGGCGGCTTCTTTTTTGACTTCAGGCATTATTTTTGCGCTGAAGTCGGCAACGAATCAGCAAGGGCTTGTGACTTTATCATTGTTCGTGATTGATATGTGATATCATGCTTGCTTAATTCTATGGCCCATTTAGCTAACCTACCCGATAGCTCGGGTTTATGCAAAATACTTCATAAGGGAAAAGTTATGACTATTGAGATGGGGTGACATAGAAGTAGGGTCTAAGCTTTCGTGAAGCTATGACCAAGGCTAGGGCCAATTTTTTAAGCTAGTGTTTTGCTAATGTAATAGGCGTACCTTTATTTTCTCGAACCAAGATTGCACTCACAGCTACTTCGGATACAGCGAGGTAGACAAGAAGGCGTTCCCCAGGTTCTAGTTTTGAACACAATGGTGGTGATGACAAGTAAGCCTTTAACTCCTTTTGGGCTTGGGCGCACTCGGAGGTTTATTGGAGGTCGTTATCCTTTTTGAGTACGCCGAAGAATTTGTGGCACCTATTAGATGATCGCAAGATGAACCTTGAAAGGGTGGCGATACGGTCAGCCAACCTCTGAACATGTTTTTGGTGGTTAAATGCTCTGATATCCCTTTGATGGCTTTGATTTGGTCGGGTTAACCTCGATGCCTCAGTGTGACACTAGGAACCCAAGAATTTTCCTGAAGCCACACTGAATGCATATTTCTCAGGGTTTAGTTTCATTTTGTATTGCTTGAGTATGACGAAGTTTTCTCTCAAGTGGTCGATGTGATCTTCTTTCCTTTTAGACTTGACCAGAATGCCGTCTATGTAGACTTCCATCGTCTTGCCGAGTTGGTACTTGAACATTTTTTTTACCAACCTTTGGTACATTGTCCCTACATTTTTCAGTCCGAAAGGCATAACTTTGTAGCAATACGTTCCTTGATGGTTGATGAAAGTGTTTTTTCTTGATCCTCCTCTTCTATGAGGATCTAATTTTATCCTGAGTAGGCATCCAAAAACCTCAGCAGTTCGTGCCCTGCCGTTGCGTCGATGAGTTGGTTGATATGAGGTAATGGAAATGAATCTTTGGGGCATGCTTTATTTAAATCTGTAAAGTCTATGCATATTTGCCACTTCCCATTTTTCTTTTTCACCATGACCACATTGGCGACCCATTGGGGTTATTTTGACTCCCTAACGGAGCCATTTTCCAATAATTATTTGACCTTCTCGCGTACTGCATCATTTATCACGGAGTTGAACTTATGCCTAATCTGCCTCATCGGGGGTGGAATGGGTCGATGTTCAACTTGTGAGTGGCAATTTCTTTCGGGATACCTAGTATATCTACATGGCTAAAAGCAAACAAATCTATGTTAGTAGTTAAGAATTGATTGAATTTACCTGGTTCTTGAAGCTTACAGCTGATGTAAGCTTTCTTGTTGTGGTCATTTCCATCTAATTGAACGGGGTCGAGGTCTTCTATGGTCGATTTTGCAGCTTCTACTGTATCCGGGTCTCTGATGATGTCCTCTTTCTCATCACAAATCAACCTCGGCCTTGTTAGTTGCTATGTCTCTTTTGCTTTGCCCTTCATTTGTGAGTGATCATATAATCTAGGGCGATGCGGTAATATTCCCAAGACGTGCGTTGTTGTCCTTGTATATTGGATACTCCCCATGAAGTTGGAAATTTGATGACTTGGTACAAGCTGGAAGGGATGGATCTCATGGCGTGTATCCATGATTGCCCTATTATGGCGTTGTATGTTGTGTACTGGTCCATGATATGGAATGTGGTTTCTAGAGTGACACCGCCAGCCAGGCCAAGGAGTGTGATTTCTCCAAATGTTCGTTTAACTACATTATTAAATCTTGTTAGTGTGATGCAATGCGGCACTATCTTATCCTCGAGTTTCATTTGTGCAAGTACCCGAGGGTGGATAATACATGCGCCGCTCCCGTCATCTACCATAATGCATCTCATATTTGTATCTAGAATTCTTAAAGTAATAACAAGGGCGTCATAGTGAGGGAATACCAAACCGTGGGTACCTGACTTATCGATGATGATACTTTCTTCGAGTTTGTCATACCGTTCATGAGTGATCGACCGTTTGAGCTTATGGGTTGTGGTGAACTTTATGTTGTTGATAGAAGTTTTGTCACCGCCACCGATAATCATTTGGATGGTGTGGGTTGGTGAGGGTAATTTTAGTGGTCCTTGATATCGTTCGCGTCCTCTGGCAAAGTTGGTCCTTCCCGGGTCACTCAGCAATTCTTTGAGGTATCCTTGTTGAAGCATGTTTACAACCTCCTGTCTTAGGGCGATGCAATCCTCGGTTTTGTGTCCTCGTTCTTGGTGGAACTCACAAAGGGCATCTGACTTTCTGGTGCTCGGATCCGACCTTATCTTTTGTGGCCACTTTACCTTCAGACCGAGCTTCTCTAATGCGTAGACTATCTTTAAAGGTGACACATAAAAATTGTGAGCAGATAACAAAGGGGGCATACCTCTCTCGTTCTGGTGAGTCCTTATCCTTGGTCTGGGCGGGCCCTCTTCGTGGCGGGAGGGGGGCACAATAGATCTTCTGACATATTGTAGATGTCGTTCTCGGTTGGGTCTTGGATCTATGAGGTCCCTTCTGATATCATTTCTTCGATCTTTCCTAGATTCGGCTCGTACCGAGGTCAATCGATGAGTTGGCTCATTGAGGTCGTCCTCGTCTGCTCGAACCTTGGCGCAATAGGCGTTGTGTATTTCATCCCAAATGGTTGGAGGATACTTTATAATCCAACTTAATAACTTTCTCATCGCCCTTGAACCATTTCTGCTCAGCCCGTTTTGGAAAGATGCAACGGCCATTCCTTCTGATACATTTGGTAAGGTCATTCTTACTCGGTTGAATCAGGCAAGGAAGTCCCTTAATCCCTCTCCCGATGACTGCTTGATAGCAAATAGATCGTTCACTCTTGCCTCTACCTTTTTGGCCCCAACGTGGGACGTTACGAACTTGTCGTCCATCTCTTTGAATGTTACAATAGAATGCCCGGCAGCTATGAATACCATGTTAATGCTCTTCCAGTGAGGGTCTCGCTAAATATTTTTAACAAAATGGAGGATACTTGTTCCTTGGCGAGGTCATTGCCTTTCACAGCGGTGACATAGTGAGTTACATGGTAATCGGGGTCGATCATACCATCGTATATTTTCAGATAGGGCGGCATTTTGGAGGTCTTTGGCATAGCATGCAGGGCAGCTTCATCACTATATGGTTGCTCGACAAACCGACCAGCGTCTCTCTTTGGCAAGAGTTTCGGGGCACCTGGTATCTTGTCGACCCTTTCTTGGTGTTCTCTCATTTGGTCCCGAAACGCTTTGTTTTCGTTCTCCATTTCCTCCATATTTTTCAAAATGGTGGTAAGGGTGATGTCACCCACACTATTAACGATGTTGTGAGTAATATTGGTCATTGGAGGAGGGAATAGATCATGCTGCTCACCCACTGTTGGTATAACGCTAGTCCTTACATTCTCTACAACCGTATCCTAAGCGGGCTTGTGGAGGATATTGGTTAGCATGTTAGTTAGCCAAGCTCGATGAGCTTTTTACTGCTGGTGGTGTCTCGTCCATCACGGACGTGGAAGCTCTTTTACCGCGAGACATTGTGATGCTGCCGTGAGGAAGAGGTAATCCGCCTCGCCTGGGAGAGGCATTAGGTGTTGTATCCTCACCTTTTGTTTCAGAGATCTCATTGATGGTGTTCAAGAGGTTAGTTGTAAGGTTGCCTATTTCCCTCATTCTTTCTTCTCTGAGGTTGCCTATTACCCTCGTTCTTTCTTCTCTGTTACCTGCCATATCAGATCTGTGCGTACAAGGAAAAGGAGTTATGTTCTTGGGTCTTTTTTATCCAGGCTAGTTGTAGATCTAAAGGAAACTAAAAATTTAACTAGGAAATCCCCACAGACGGCGTAAAATTATTTGGCTAAAAATTATAAACTTTCGGTTAAACTATTAAATTTTATGTAACAAGGGGTTAAACTTAGTTAATGATAATATCTCTAGATTTAGAACTTGACAGCATGGATAATGTAAGATAATGTCGGTGGGAAACTAAAAGTAATGCACATTTAATATTCCAAAAGATGTGAGCAATAATAGGGGAATATCAAGCAATAAATAGCAATAAATGGCATTTATGTATATAAGGAGAATGATTCACCCAGTAATGAATGAGATAGAAGATTATTCCTCCTGGCAATGATGAATGACAAACAAATCCTAAAATGTTTGAACTATTCTCGGATCTGATGGAAAAGTATGGAATAATATGAGCAAGAATCTTGATGAAAATGTAAAGTTTGTATCTTTGCTAGAGAGAGAGAGAGAGCATCTTCTTCTCAAAAGTGTTCTTGCCAAGTGAATATTACATGTCCTACACTATTGTCTTTTTTTTTATTTAAATGAGACACATCCCTAACAAACTCTAATAGCATATTCTCTTTACTATCCTATTACAAGAACTAGCCGTTAATATTTTGTCTTTGTTGCTCGACCTCGGTCGTTGTTGACAGCCCATCTACGAATCTCACTGCTTCCTTGTCGACCTCGACTGGTCCTTTCCTTAATGCTGCTTACCGCTAAATTTCCTTAGGGCAGATTTTGGCCTATATAGTATGTTCTCTTCATAGATTAACCTCTCTATAACAGCCTCGTTTGTTCCAATATTTTTTAGGTGTTATAGTGAAGTGATGTTATAGAGAACATATATTATAATGTAATATTAAAACTGGTTCCGAAAAAATATGAATTTTATAGTGAATGGTTGTTATATAGGGATACTGTTATAGAGAGGTCAAACAGGAATATGTTTTCATACATTGCAACTATCTGTTTGGCTTTATTTTCTATCAACTCAATTGCTAGGTGAGCCAGAGCCATTGTCAAGGTCAAGGTTCCCGGTAGACTAGATGTCAATTATTTTCATTTGGACAGTAATATTCAGCTTATGAATTTGATGTTAGTGCTTATGTTTTTTTCTCTCAGCTGCACGATAAATTATAGTTTCCCCCGATCTTGATAAAACTGTTTGTGTCCATTATGTCCTTTGTTAAATAGAGTCTTTAATTGGCGGTTGGGGAATGTTGTTATGGTTTACTTATAGCAGCTTTCGGCACTTGTAAAATTGATACATTACCTAATGTGAATAAGTAATGGTGACTTGTTAGACTGGAATCAAATGTTTTGTTATGGATGTTTGATCTTTGAACTATTGCTTTCACCTAAATGTACAACCTAATTTAAGCATATAACATCATTATGTTATTTGAGAGCGTATTAACGAATCGGATTCAAAATGCAGTTCACATGTAAATTTGAAGAGAATAACAATCATACTTCACCAAGACATGGGGAAGCTTTTTTACCAACTGAATTGTTTGAGAAGAGATACAAATTCTGGTAATATTATCAATTACATGATATATAGAAATTTATTCTTTCGTGATGATTAATCTACATACTGTAAAATCATTTGGTTGGTAGCTTGTGAGGCCTCATATGACTTAAATGATGCAGGTAAAAATAACACAACCTGCTATGATTTGGGATATTGAGTCTTTCTCCATTCTTGCCGACTCTAAAACTCAAAGTATTTCTAGTAAACTAACCGGAAACTTAGAGAAAAATTATGTTTTGCTAGATCCTATTTTCTATAGAGGTCTCCTTCTCTTAAGAAAAGCTTATTCTCATGTATTTTCTATGATTACCCAAAAAAATTAAAAAATAAGAACATTGAGCGAAAGAATGGAAGTTTTAATAGTTGCAATTAGGGTTGTGCACGGATTGGATCGGATCGGATCGGATTTAGCACATTTCGGATTCTAAAAAATGCAATCTGAATCCAATCCGAATTATATCGGATCGGATCAAATTTTAAAGTTTGGATCGGATCGTATTATGCCTCAAAGTTGCAAATTAATATATTTATTTTCTTTGTAAAAGAGGCATACATTAAGAAAAATTCATATTTATGCAATTATGAGAGTATTATGGTGCCAATATAGCTAAATCTAGCAATTATAAAGGTAATAACTTGGAGGAAAATGTAAAGGAAGTACTGACTATCCGAAATTAAAGTGTAGTATATACATTGCCTCATAATTTTGGATTTCGGATTGGATTAAAATATACCAATTCGAATCCGATCCGAAATTTTAATAAACACAATCCGAAATTCGAAATCCGAAATTGAATGGATCGATTCGAATTTCGGATATCCGATCCGAATGAACAGCCCTAGTTGCAATATACACTAAAACTTCTTTGCTCTGCGTTTATCATGTTGGATACAAATTAAAGACTAGATGTTCTTTTAAAAATAATTTAAAATCTGCCAATTGATAATAAGTATTGACATTTTCAAATTTCCGTATTAGAAATGAACAGGTTTTTAGGCTCAGAAACACGAATGTGCATAGGAATCTCCTTTGTGTAAATGGATTTGTACATAGTATATTCAAGCAGTTGGAGGTAGACAAGAAAGAAAAATAGCACAGCTAGCACATTAGAGAAATTAATGACCGTTGTAGATAAAGAATAAATGTAAATCAAATATTAATACACCAGAAAATTCCTTAATTTTAGAAAAAGATTAGCATGGTCGAAAAGGATCGAGAGTTAGCATCAACAAGTTCACTGTTAAACTCTTAAATCATAAACTATTTAGCTACAACATTATGCATGGCTAAGAAGCCAATTTGACCATGGTGAGTGCCTTTCGGCTTCACTTGTTTTCCAACACAGATGGGTATATTTGTTATATTGGTCTATTGATAGTAGGCTAGAAATTCGTATTTTAGATGTATTTTACACTTTAATTACTGTACTTTACGTATGTTAAAGCTTAAAGGATAGTGAATTGCACTTATTGCGTGTTTTATGCCTTGCAGGAAGTGTTTATCAGTTAAAAAGTTAATTTGAAGTTGAATCGAACAAATTGGAGCTTTGAAATCTGAGTAAAAACCCAAGAAATTAAGTTGGGATCGCGTTCGGGGGTTGAGGACCAAGTCTGGATGTCAAAAAGTGGAAGAAAAAAAAACACTCTGAGAAAACAACACTGTCGCGCCTATACAACACTGCGGTTGTGCAAATTCTATTGTCTGCTAGAAATTTGCTCTCTGAAAATGCCCACAAGCGCGTCGTGCCTGTACAAAATTCTTAGAGTTATTTCCAGTTTTGGCTTGGAAATGGTAGTTTTATTCGCACCCACTTCTACACGGTATAAATACACCAAAATATGTTTTTGAAGAGACATTTAACCTACAAAAGTTTTGAGAAGTAACTAAGGCAAGAACATACAAAAATTCATCAAGATTTCAACCAACAATCGGTGCAATACTGTCATGACCCAAAACTCAACATGTCATGATGGTGCCTATCACAGAACTAGGCAAGCCGGCAATCTCAAATAACTATGCACTTTGGATTGAAAACATGATAAAATAATTTTAACAGTGACAAATTCTCATAAATAACCGATAAGAATATACCGCGACTCAATACAAAATCCCCAAAAGCCGGATGTCACTAAGTACATGAGCTACTATAATGTCAACACAGTCAAATTGCTAATACAACTGTCTAGAAAGATAGAACAGTGCTAAATAACTAAAAGAAGGAGAGTCAAGGTTTGTGGACGCCAAAGCAGCTACCTCAAAAGTCTTCAAGCAGATTAAGCTCTAAATCTAGCGACCGTCGTGCCCAGAAGTACCCGGATCTGTACACGAAGTGCATAGTGTAGTATGAGTACAACCAATCTAGTGTACTCAATAAGTAACATGACTAACCTTGGGCTGAAAGCAGTAACGAGATCTATCATGACCCAAATTCCCATAGAGGCCGTGATGGTGCCCAACGTCGCCGTTAGGCAAGCCAACAGTGAACTAGTAATGTACTTGTTCCTTTTTAATAATAAAAAATACTTGATTTTTTTATTTATTAAGTAAATAAATAGTGAGAAATTATAGTAAGGTAAAGCATAAGCAAATGAGATAGTAAATACAGTGAAATAAATACTCAAAAGCATAAAGTGTCTACTAGCATATTCCCAAAACCTAGTGTCACAAGTGTATGAGCAACCAATAGAATATACAAAAACACCTATGTTACTATCTGAAATGAGATAGACAGAAAGTAAATACAAAAGAGAGACTATGGGTGCTGCAGAACGGATTCAGAGAGCAGCTTACCACTACGCCTCGGGGTAACAGGGCTGCACGCCTGAATGATTGTAGATGCACCCGCCTCAGGTTCTACATGATTAGTGCAGAAGTATAGCGTGAGTACATAAATAACATGTACCCAGTAAGTATCCAGTCTAACCTCGAAGAAGTAGTGACGAGGA